TCAATTTAAGAGGTTACAATACACAACTAATACAAGACAGTTCACGCTCTCACAGGTGATATAACAGGACACTACATTAAATTACAGTCCTGAAGGCTTCTACAGTCAAATACAGCAACTAAACAAAGGCTGAAGGAAGGCATGGCGATTCTCCAAGCTGGACAACAATCTCCACCTGATGCAGTGTCCAGAACAGGAGATGAATCCACACCAATATCAGAGGCAAAAATAGCTGTGATTTGTCCTGGCCTCTCCAAGAATAAAACTTGACTGGGACTACAATTATCCTGAAAAATAAACACCAACATCAATACTAAGTGTGCCAGGAGGCAACTGAAAACTGAAGAAAAACTAACCCACCTCCGCCCCATTTGCAGCAATAATAATCATGTAGTTCAAGGTTTCATCAAAGCAGCAGCGTTTTCCGCTAAATGCTAACATTCAACAATACATTATTCTCACTTAAATTAGGTAATACAAACGCTGGCTCACTATGATACACATCTGGGAAACACCACGTTTAAAAGAGACATACCTGAACTGTGAAGAACCGCAAGACATTGCCAGCACTATTACCACCCAAGCCATTCAGATGTCCCATTAAAAGTAATTTTAAAACAACTTTTAGCTAACAATAATGTTAACCCAGTGTGTCAGGTCCAAATGTGATGTAACACATACCTGTATAAACTGCAGAAGTATTACCAATGGAAACCGGATAGGAGTGGTGCTTCCCAAATCTTACATCATAAATCCTTTTATAAGGTGGAATGTCATTAAATGCCAAATTGGGGATGTACCCAGTCAGCCACCCTCACTCCATCACTCAATGGCTGATTAGGAAGTGCACCACATATAAATGACAAAGAAAGGAGCAAACACAAGGCAGCTTTTCCCCAAACGAGCTTGATGGGCCGAATGGCCTCCTCTCGTTTGTAAATTTCTTATGTTCTTATGTGACTGGTTAACAGGTGGGTAGGAACAAGAGGTAAGACTAACAAGCCTCAGGTGTGGCTAGTTTAAAGCCACGCTGGACATGAAATGGGAGTATTATACATGCGGGACAGGCTGGACGTGACATCAGGGGAGTTTCTAGCTATTGAAGGATCAGGAGCTAAGTCAAATTTACCTGGGGCTTGACTTCTTTTCTTTCTTGAAGGAAAATTGGCATCGGGGCTAAAATACTCAGGGCTAGGCTTAAAATACACAGGGTATAGCCCCAAGTGATCGGACCTAACGAGGCCCATGCGTGACATGAATGACTATGAATACTTTTATAATGCATAATAAGGGTCAGTATAACAAGGATGCTTTGTGCTCCATTATGAAGTTATTTATAGTTCATTATAGATGAGACCTTCATACAGCATTCATAGGGCATAATACACATGACTATAATGTGTTATGCCTTTTTATGAATAGTTATAGCAGTGTTTATAATACTTTATAAATGTATTATAATGCATTATGAAGGTATGTGAAATGCAATATAATGAGTCCTTTAAGTAAAGTGTTACCAATATTTTCTCTCAGAAGGATAGTGCATGGATCTTTGCAGAAGAAAATACAGGTATGTGCTTTGTTTTCCATCTAATGTGAATAATATAAATGTTTTACTGATTATTATGGGTGCTTTTTCATGGAAAATGTTTAAAATATATGCCTCATTACACACAGGATTACTCTGGACTATTTTGGTGCACAACACTGCAACTTGGACAACCAGATTGAGTAAGTTCTCTCAAGTGGGAAGATATGTCTGTGTGTTATACCTATTCAAATTTACAAGCCTGAGGTTAATGGGTTCGAAAATCAACAAATTTTGCATTTGTTGGGTTCTCAGGGATAACTAACCAATGAATATTAAGTCGTTGAGATAAATACTGAGGGATTTTGATAAGTGGTCTTGATTGGTCTTGAAATAAAACTTCAAGTCCTCTATGTCCGAGACTGAGACAAGACTACGTCAAAATTAAGTCAATTCCGAGATGAGACCAAGACCGGTCTCAAGTACTACATCACTAGCTGCAGGGTAAGTGTGCTGGCTGTCAGTGCCACGGTAATTGAGGGTCAGCACAGAAACCGAACTTGCAGTGTCCTAACAGCACAACACATGGTCACAGTCAAAGGGGTGTAATCAGTTAGCTGTGCTCTCATTCAGAAAGCCATGTCACCATAGATGTACCGGACCCCCGATAAGCCGAAAAAGTTTTAATTCCATTTTAAATTTATTCAGGTTTGCCAGGTCGTGCAAATAGCTCATGAACAGGGAATATATTAAGACATTTTCTTCAGCTCTCCTTCCGTCTGATTAATTTGTATTGTTAATAAGTTCTGAAAGCCTTTCCCCCAGTTTAATTTCTTTAATCCTCTTTTAGAACATATTGCAAAGAGCTCTCATTTTTTTCCCTCTTCTGTTTATATTTTTACTTCTAATTACTGTGAACAGACTCTCTACTCAAACTCCAGGTTCATTTATGAAGTTAAAATGTACACTTTTTTTCCCTATGAAAAACACAGTCAAAAGTGAATATTAATCAAGTCATTGTTTCAAACAGTATGTGTAGAATTACTGTATTAGTTGACATACAGATTGAAAAGCAGGGACAATTATGCATAACTTAATGAGAGTTTGTATTTTTCAAATCAGTGCTGAAATTTGTGTACAGCACTAATACCTATTTATTTGTGCATGTCGCATTCATGAAGAAAAAATGTATGAAAAAAACAACTGGCAGGTGGGAATAAAGATTAGATCTAGTATTTCAATGTGGTTTTTTGGAACAATGGTAACAGATGTCCTTAGAGCTGACATCACTTTGCCAATAATACTCTGGGCCAGATTCCTAGCAGTTCACTGTCTTCAGTATCTTTGTTACCCTTGGTAACCAGCAGTTGCACTGTTGGAATGTCGCTAACCATGAAACTGTATCTTGACCAGAATTTGTTTGTAGCTCTTTAATTCAGTGTCCTGCTAACGTGTGACTGTAGTCGGCCATCTGTCAAGGGGAGATAAGCTCTGTGAAATGAGCAATGCTTTTGATCCTCCAAGGATGGACCTTAGGTTGAGATTTCCAACAGTCACCATTTATATTCAGAAATGCCCAACAGCTTGCAAAGGTGTCAGGACTGTGAAAGTAATAATGTAAAGTGAAAAATGGTCACAGGAATAAAATGTGTTTCAAAAAGACAGCCATTGTGCAGTACTTCTCACCTTTGATCCCCTCTGGAGGTCCTTTGTGTTCCGACTGATATGGGGATATAAAGTAAGCTGCCTGTTGAGGTGTGCCTCAGCTACTACTTGAATCCTTTTGATGGACAGCTTTTTAAACTGCAGACTCTCATTCTATCTGTTTGCTTCTTTGGCTTATTTTAAAAGGCCCTGTTTCAATTTCTGCTTGTTTTTGCTGTCTCTGGGTTACATTATGAGTCACAAGATGATTTATTAGTTGTTTTTTAATGTACCTGTATGCATGTGCTTATAGCCTATATTGTTTGCACTTTATTATGTGTACAATGGCTCTGTACAGTGGAAGCCTACACAGACAGCATACATACATTTTACACCTGAATGTTGTCTGCTTTGAATCATTGTAGCAATTGCTGGGACTAAACAATTTGCAGTTGGTCTCAGGCAGTCTGCCTACATCCTGAGGTTAACACACAGTCCTGAAGCTACTGGCCTCTCAGGGTCAGTCCCGCAATGTCTATCATTTCCCCATTTATGTTCTTCTATTACAGTATTGGTCTTTGTATCCTTGTTTCTGGTCATCCCTGCTTGTGTCTGGTTTTGTAGTGATCTTTTATTTCACATTTGTTCCAGTCCATAGTGTGTAATAAGTAATGACCCACATCTGTCCCTCATTTCACCCTTGTTACCCGTGCATTTAAGCGCCTGCCCTTACTCTGTTCCACGGTTGGTCATTGCGGTTGTTTCCTGTATTTCCTGAAAGTATGGCTGTTTGATGTGTTACCTGTATGTGTTTAATTGTGTTTCCTGCATGTTTCTGTGCCTTTAGTTCCTACCTTGTTTGTTTTTGTTTTCCTTGATGTTATTGTTTTGACCACTCAGGGTACCTTTAGTTTCTATTTTCTGCAAGTTCTCCTTAACAATAAAATCCCCAATCTTCTTAAGCCGCACTTTGGATCATCCTTACATCACCCCCCTCTTTAACACTGGCCATCAAAGTCCTTTCACATCTGAAAGTCAAAAAAATAATGTATAATTCTTGATGAATGAGAAGGTAGACATATGGATTAGACAGCTGTGAGATTATATGGCCGAAAGTATGCAACACCAGCTTGTCCAACATATTGTTCCAAAGCCAAGAGTATTAATATGAAGATGGTTGGCCCAGCCTCTACTCTTCCGGGACGACAATTAATTGAATAGTGTGCTAACTTTTTAAGGATAACATGATGTATGATGGCAGACATGCTGAAAAGTATGCCTTGGTCTTTCTGCCTTTGGCTTTTATCCCTCAGTGACACTTTGTGTGCTTACATTATGTTTATGCAGCCCAGAGAATTCCAAGGCTCCAAGGTACTAAGAGTGTTTCCCTGTGATGAGATAACACATTGGGCTATCTACAGCAGTGTAGGTCACATGTATCAGTGACCGGCCAGAGTATGCCAGTCCATTATGTCAGGTTTCAGTAGCACTAAGCCACCATAGCAGTTGTTTTGATGTTATGGAGACCATTTTTCCGGTTCCCACAAGGGAAATGGAATTTTATAAAAAAAAATATGAGTGCAATCAAGAACTTAAAAATGTCAAAAGTCTTTTTTTTTTGGTTACTTGGGGTTAAGGTTGTCATTGTTGAGATTAGGTTTCTTCCCATAGAAATGAATGGATGGTCCCCTAAAGACAGGAATACAAACGTGTATGTATGTGTGCAGATGCGTGTGTGTGATAGATAACTCTACTGAGGTCAGGGACCAGAAATAAAGACATCAGGAGGCCTGGTGACTTCTTCAGTAGTATTTTGAAATACATGTGCTATTAATAAAACAGATGTCTTATCTTTTAATGAGACAAAACAGACTACACCAGGAAAAGCATATTTTATGACAACTGCACTCTTACATACATTTTTACAGCCGTGTACTCCCTCTTGGTAACACCACACAAATCTGTATATTGAATGGCTTTAGTTACTTATTTAAGGTCTGATGTGGAAAATGGCATTTGTTTCTTTCTGTGGATTCGGTTTCAGAGGACAGTCCTTGGCAACATTCCTCTTTCCCTCTCAGTCACCTTTGACCAACTCAGGCAAATGGAAGTCACAACAAAGATCAAAATCCCTAACGGATGCACTCAGAGTATGTCAGTCTAGCTTCTGCTCTTGAAGAACATGCTTTTTCATCTTCAGAGTACTACTATATATACTTTATATCACATAGAAAACAAAGGAGTCCATTATATACATTGACTAGGCCATGGTATAACCAAAGGTCCCCTTTACATGGTTACAGTGGTGAAGGCACTCATGCCTACGTTGGCCACTAGCATCGTTAAATCATTCACTGTCTGGCCAGTTCACTCTAGTCATTTTAGCAGATATTGTTTAGCAATCCTTTGTATCGGTTGGTCAGGCCAACAACGGTATCTTTTCGTTGAATTCCTTTGCAGTATGGTCCATCAGGATTCAGGCTTTGTGAAGAAGCCTATTTTTATTGTATGCATCGCCTTTAAACAAACAAATAAAGAAACAAACAAATGTGTTGTTAACCATTCCATGTTGACGTGTGGTTACTCAAAGTCAGTGATCATAGCTGGAGAGGCTGGTGGAATTCTTCATACTGGCCGGTCCACTGCATACTGACAGGGGCTGAGGTTGGACACTGGGTTTTGCACAGTTGGGTATGCAAAGTTGGCATGCTGCTTGGCCTTGAGCCGCAGGCTAGCTAGGCTGGAGTTGCATGTGTCCCGGTACATGTATGGGCTGGCTGCCGCTGCGGCATACGGGCAGGCACTGGCAGACACGGCAGAGTTCAGCGAGGGGCTGTTCAGGTTATTCAGATTGCCCAGGTTGTTGAGGCCAGAACCTGGAACGCCAGCCACAGCCGAGGGCACCATTGAGGACGCCATGTTCATGGAGGAGATGGAGCTGGGCGGGGAAAACATGGGCTGTGAGGACAGAGGGCTGACGTTCACGGAATTAAAGAAGGGGAAACTCTTAGCAGAGAGCGGGCTGCTGGCCAGGCCCTTAGTGGCCCAGTTATTGTAGGAGTAGCCTGAATACATGTCGTCATAGGGCTGCATGAGTCCATTGAACTGGGTGCCAAAGCCGTTTTTGCAGAGCTCAGCCTGCTGGTTCCGCTCTCTCTTCCTCCACTTGGCACGACGATTCTTAAACCATACCTGATGAAAGAAATGTAACAGCACACTCAGCCACAGACCCCAATGATGGAAATCAGTCTTATTTTCATTCTTCGTAATGGCATATTTCAAGGCAAAGCACTTTTTCTTGCTTTAAAATCCTTTCGAACTTTCATTTTACTGTTGAACAGGAGACACGGATTATAAGTAAGGGTTGATGCAAGACAAGTTATGCATCATATGTTTTTTTTAAATACAGAGTTATGGAGGTGAAGAACCGCCTGATGCAGAGTGCATTTTATATCAATAATAAAGTTATCTACCGATATTAATCTGATGATTCGTTGAGTAATATAATCTAGTATAATTAGCATGAGGCCGGAATCAACCAGCCATTGCAGGATGCACTCAGTCACACATTTGGTCCCGTTTTACTTAATTTGCATGTTTTTGGACATTGGAAGAAAACCGGAGGATTTGCAAGAAAATCACAAATACAAAGGATGAACATGCAAACTACATACGGAAAGCGGGGGGTTGCAGTGTAAGATGCGTGATGTTGATATCGGCATGGCTTTTTATGCACGTGTGATCGGGACATTGCAAGGACCGCGACAGTCTGGTTCAAACCATCAATATGTTGTGCGGAAACTTTTACTCAGTCACTGGAAACAAAACTTAGCAAGCTTTGCAATTTTAATGATGGTTCCTGTTCAAAATAATTTTGCATATCATCCACAAATCATGATCATACGATCATTCTCATCCTTGGTGGTGGACTCACTCATAGACCGTGTGGCGTGCTTCTAAGAAATTAAAGATGAGTGAAGATTGAAGAGTGATTTGTTGGCACAACTCACGACAACACCAACTTATTTGACAGGCTCTATTGATAGACCATAAAACTTCCGTTTGGCTATATAGTTAATTTTCAATTACTAAATATCACAAAAACTTAAAATATCGCAATTGGAACCTTTGCTTTAGTAGCAATTATTTTGACACACGGTTGTAGAAAATAGCCTAAATTAAGCAAAATAATTTAAGTGAATGCAATGACAAAGACATGCTAGGCTACTCCAAGAGGCCAAATAGCACATATCTACGGGTAACCTTGCATTATTAGGCAAGTCCGTCAAACTCAAACATCTCCTTTTATGATGTATTTGTATTGCGGTCTGTTCTGTGGTTATATTTCATTTATGCTTTGCAATACTAACAAAGGACTGCATTTTCATTCACTTTTAATGTGAAGTGCTTCCACACAACTGATGCTTTCACTCTTTATTTGAACCCTCAACCACTAGGCACCATCTTCCTTCCGCCATTTTTCGAAGTACTTGAGAAGGAAATTTTTAATCGATGCTTTTTAGTAATCGAGTACTCGAATTTAATTGAGGAATCGCAACAGCACTAGAGCATTTAAAAACCTGGCTTATACGCAGGTACCTAAAGATATTATTTTTATGTTTACAAGCCAAAAATGCATTTATTAGTTGAACTACTTTCCTCTGCCAGTAATTAAACATTTTTCGTTAAGTCAATGTGTTTTCTACATCTGAAATTGTAAGTAACATTAGTTAGTATTAAGGTTATGATATGAGACATTGATTTAGTATTGTGATTTACCTGGCTGGGACGACATGTGAGGCTATAACAGAACCCCCTTACCTGTCTTATTTGCAATTTCATCACAGATTTGTTCTCTAAAATGTGATTCCCTCACCTACATGATGTCTGGGATGAAGATGGAGCAGATCTTTGCAGAAAATAAACTTGTTATATTGCACTTGTATATATTACACTTGGGAATGGTGAACATGGTGGCTTATTTTCAATATGCCAGGCATTTTCACTGTGATAATCTTTCAATAAAAAGAAAAGTGTTACAGCAAAGTGGTATCACAAGAAACCATTGATTTACAGCAAAGTGGTATCACAAGTGAGATATTACTGTACAGCTAAAATAATTCCTTTTTCTGTTCTGGATCATTTAAACTGTTGTCACTGTCAGCAGTGTGGCACCATACCCTGTGTTACACTACACTGCACCTCATGGCTAATGATGTCAGTGCTGCTTTTTCTGCTAGTTTTTGCTTTACACTCTCACTGGACCAACATCCATTGGTAATAGGACTTATGGCTGTTCATCATCTCAGGAGTCCCACAGTTTCATAGGGTCAATGCAAGTGTGAACCAAAGAGCCAAGGGCTATAAAACGGCAGTCTGAACAACAAACAATCAATCAAAGCTGGTTCTTGCTGACGTGCACTCAGCGCAAAGACTACTGTTAAAAAAAAAAAAAAAAGTTCACTACAAACTCTAAACCAATTATTAATCTAACTTATTGAATATGGTTGCATTAAAACTAAAGTCATTTAAATTATGAGCTCCTTCTGAAAGAAATGTCAAGTGAAAGCAGTTTGTCAATTTTAAGATCCTATTTTTAGAGGGAATAAAGGGGATTAAAGTTATAATGACAAATGTAAAATGAAGACATTTAATTCAGTTCCCTTGGGTGAGGCTGAGGGTAGTGATTGTTATTTCTAATCTCCGAGTACACATTTAGGCAAAGGGGTAGTCTTCTGATTTTTGTGCAATCCAAGTAAAAATATATGGCTTCTATACATGACTGAGTCATTTCTCTGCTAACTGAATAATACACTGGTACAAAGAAGCACTGGAGCTAAATTAACTGTGTTTGAAACAAGCCTTATGTTTATGGTCTGTACTAGATAAATGGTTGATCTGAAAGTTATGTTACACAACTGTGGAATCACATCTGACCACATATTAACGTGATGACATATAAAGCAAAAATCAATGTACAGGATACTAATCTGTGCATTTTTGAAATTCAATATCAATATGTAGAACTGTTTCTTAAATGTCAGACTTTACATTTGTTAAATACAATATTTACCGCCATATACAGCTCTGGAAAAAAATTAAGAGACCACTCTATATTTTCAAACAAATCAGCATTTTTGAATCCAGGTTTAATGTTGGTTCGGCTGGCAGAAGGCTACGCTGTGCAGCAGGTTGCTTTCAAGTTAAAAAATTTGAAGACAGCAGTACACAAGAATAAGGTGAAGCAGGAGACACTGGGAACGACCAGAAACCAGCCAGGTATAGGGCAGAAGTCACCTTTCTAATGGCAGAGATGACGTCAACTTATCTGACAGTTTCTCATCAATCGAACGATGACATCAAGTGACCTTCAAAAGGAATAGAAAACATTAAGTGCAGGTGTGAAGTGCACTGCTAGGACAGTTTGTATCAGGCTCCTAGAAGCAGGACTGAAATCCCACAAAGCAAAGAAGAAGCCATTTGTCAATGAGAAGCAGGGAAGAACCAGGCTGCAGTTTGCAAAATATATATTATTCACAGATACACACCCAGAAATTATTGAAACAAAAAATGTTCTCATTTTTTTCCAGAGCTGTATGAATTTCAATTCTCAGGTAATAGTTTTTTAGAAGCTGGTTGTGACCTTTATAATTTATAAGATGGCTATTTTTATATGAATGCACTGCATTATCAATCATTTTTGCAGATGAGATTTTTTACACCAGTGAAAGTCTCTTTAAACAGTTACGATTGTAATGTTGACTTCTTACCACAAGAGGTAGCCAATGAGGCAACTTTTTACTACAATAATAAAATGTATTTTGTAATTGTACCCGCATCAATAAATTGCAGACTAGATTTTGTAATTAATTATTAATCCTCCTTTCACAATAATGTTGGGGATAATTGTGTTTATTTGTTGTTCAATTTCTTTTGAAATATCCTCAATTCTCATCTACTCTGTTCAGCCAATAAAAGCAATACATCATGTCAGTAAAAAAAATTATAGATTAAGACCATTACCTTGTACAGTTATCAATGTTGTACAGATATATTAGCTATGAGGAACAAAGGAAGATTGTTGTGGGGGTGTAAATCAGTTACACTATAGTTCATTTTCACTATAGTACATTTTCAGTACAGCGGGGGTAAAACAAACAAAACAAATTGCTTCTTTTATTTATTTCTTTAAACAGCATTTTACTGGGGGTGGTATGGTGTGCAGTGATTAGTATTGTCGTCTCACACCTATGGGACCTGGATTCAAATCTTTGCCGGGGTTCCATGTGTGTGGAGTTTGCACGTTCTCCCTGTGTTGTTGTGGGGTTTCCTCCAAGTACTCTAGTTTCTCCCCACAGTCCAAGAAAATAATGCTGAGGCTAATTGGAGTTCCCAAATTGCTGATAGGTGTGCATGTGTGAGTGAGTGGGGTGTGAGTGTGCCTTGTGAAGGGTTGGCACCCTGTCCTGGGTTGTTCCCTGCCTTGTTTCTGTAGCCTCTGGGATAAGCTCCAGACCCCCCCATGACCCTGCATAGGACAAGCAGTTTCAGAAAATGGACGGATGGACAGACAGTGATTTACTTAAGTATGACTGTATTAATAACAAACTAAAATTTACTTAAAAGTCAAGAATATATTATGTCAATTGAATATAAATAAATTAAACATCCATTAATTAAAGTGCACATTTAGAAAATTAACTGTACGTGATCTGTATTGTATTCATAGCAGCTTTTAGCTTCGTATTCAAACTATGCAACACAAATATTGTCTCAAAAAACAAAATAAACATCCATTATGGTGCATCTTTTTAAAAAATACCTGTGCTGTACTTGTATTCACATTAACAACTTCCAGGTTCACATTAGGATGTATGCCCACAAGCATAGCGCCGCGGCTTCATCTGCCCCTTTCCAAATGTTACTTGGGGGAAACGCACAAACACACAAAGGTTCTGCATTTTCTGCATTCCTTCGGTACATATGCATACCGAACCGAAAGACCTGTACCAAAAATTTCCGGTAAAAAACGAGTACTGTCACACTCCTACTGTTGACTGATAACATTCTTCATCTTTGTGGGTCTTTGTTTTGTATTTTGCAGTTCCCCACTTCCCTTGCGAACAGCAAATTAAAAATATGTTTTGAATGATTCTTTCAATGGCAGTCTTTGAAGCAAACATTGAGTCATTTAATTAACTGCTTTATTTCTTTCAGTTGTAGATAAATCTACTTCCTCAATTTTAAATGCAGGGTTTATCCAGTCAGGATTAATATGCAACTTGATAAGTATGGAAAGCCTACTCAATTGACAATAGGAATTCAGAATCCTGCATTGTGTCGTCCTTTCAAAATAACAACTGAGACTTTAGTTATGTGACCTTTTATCTGGCCAACATAAATCTGATCCATCAGTTGTCAGGCAGACGGTGATTGCATTGTCCTCCACCACAATATTTTCCCCTGCTTCATGGAGCAGGTGTGCCCAAACCTCAGAACTGTAGGGGACTATTTCTGCTTACCATAGAAGGCTCAGAACATCACTCAAAAGTGCACTGGCACAAAAAGCATCCACTGCTGGTTTTACATCTGTAGCATGGCCAGGTTGGTTTGTTTTTTTTTTTAATGCAAATAACAGATTTTCACTTTTTATGGTTTGCGTTTCCACACAAATATAGTTTTACATCAGAATTAATCAGTTGCACATGTGCTGTATGCTTGATGAAAATCTATCCCTGATAAGAAAACAAACTGACTTTTAGTGATGGGTAAACTGGGGAAATGATGCACTTCTGCTATAATGTATTTCATTACTGTAAAGAAAAGGGATTTTGTCTGGTTGTTAGGTGGCCTAGAGCAGGCTTAATGGGCTTTTATTTTGGTGATGATTTTCCCCAAGGTAACTGGATCTTCTTGTCTTTGCAGTAACCAGTCTGACAACATTGTGACCCTCATCAAGAAAAGTAACACAGAAGCCTAAGTTTGAATCTAAACTAGTTTTTAGTTCCAATTAAATTAAAAACAGAATTTCACCCTGTAAACAGCAATAAAGTTAGCTTAACACATAGCTTTTTAATTTTAGAAATGTGGAAGAATATGAATCTTGCATTATTTGCTTGGTCTTGCAAACCGAAACCTTACTTGATGGTGGTTATGCACTTTAAGCGGGCCTAAATTATATCTTCATATTGCCAGTCTACTCAGCTTACCCTGACTCTGGCCTCCGTAAGGTTCGTCCACACTGCAATCTCCTCCCTGGTGCTCATGTCGGGGTAGCGGTTCCTCTGAAAGGTGGCTTCCAGCTCCTGTAACTGCTGGCTGGTGAAGTGTGTTCGCTGTCTCCGCTGCTTCTTCTTCAACGACCCGTCCTCAGCGTTTGATTCGTCCGTCTGATTCTGGTGGGATTTTTCGGTGTCTTCACAAATAAACGGATTTATTAAAAAAAAATTATAAATGCCGTCACATTTTGGATCCTTTGTCTACTTTTTACTGTTAGGTGGGAATGGGGAAGAGTGTATAAATGAAAAATCACACCTTTGACGCATGCAGCTAGCAGATTAACCAATCGCTAAACTAGTAACCTAAGGTTACTTATCAAGATTTTCATTCTTGGAATGGGGTGTACATTTGTAATTGAATGCAGTAGGACATATGTAGTCTGTCCCATGGATGCAAACAATTTGAGAAATTTACAACACTGACAGATTTTTCCCTATAAGACGAGTGAAAATAATCAATAATCCTAGATGCCCAAACAAGGCTGGAGTAAACACCTCGGCCAAACGGCAAATGTTATGTCTGTGAAAGGCCTATCTCTCCTGATCCGAGCTCTGCAAATTGAAGACCCCACAGAAGGAGCTAAATTACTTCAGCACCTAATCCAGGGGATCAGGCATTTTTGACAGGATAGGTTTTGCACTGTTTGGCAGAGGCTTAGCCCTTCTGGATGAGTTATAAGCGATTCGCGAGTTTAGATGGCTCTTAGGGGCCACCTGAAAGACCGATAACGTGCATGCCCTGGTTGTTATCGCCCGATAAACACTCTGACTCAGCATGGCCTTGAGCCAAACTGTTTGTTCATGTAATTTTTATTTAGCATAGCAGGAAATAAAAGCATATTATGTACAGATAACTGTCTTAATGGAGGATTGATAATACTATTTTGATAACTCCTGAAAGATTTCATAATTTTAAATGCTGTATATGGAACAAACCCTGCACCTGATTTTAAACGACGCATATGGAGGCAGGAACCTATACATTTTTACAAGTGAATGCAATAATTTACATAGGCCTATGTTAGTTAAGCGAAATATGCCGAAAACATTTATGATAGGCCTGTTATTTATTTCTCATACGAATGTGCGTCCCAGTAGCCTATGAACATAAAAATAATTTTTATTAGGGCTATTACCGATGGAAAAACAGTAATTTCAAGTAGTTTTAGGTAAATGCGTTCTTTTTAAAGTTATTAGATTATCAGACTGTCGTCTTTGTCATTTTGATTTCCTTGGTTAAAAAAAAATCCTTGTTAAATTGATAGGTAATTTGTTTGGTTTGTTATTTTTGGTAGCATTAACAAATTAATAATCTGACAAACTGCGCAGCAGTGAACACCCACGCGTGTCCGAGTAAACTTTATTTATACATGTGATTCGGTCCCTGTTCTAAGAAACGCGGGAAGGAGTTTTTCTGGTAAGATTCAAATCATTCAATAAGTCTGCTACCCGTGCTGGTGTGTAGAATTGTGGGACAAATTATATATTGCAAATTAATATACATTTTAAATAAACGCATTTGTGGAAACAAAGAAAATGGGCTGCAGGGAAAGTAAATGCAGTAGTTAGATATGCTGTGTTTTTAGGAACTATATAACGTATTAGGATCGATTCAGAATAAATTGAAATTGCATTTAATTTATTCTAAACGCAAAGTGCTGTATGTAGGAGTTCCATCTTTATCTTGTAGTCGTTTCATAAATGTTAGGTATAAATGTACAAAATGTTATATAAAATGGTCTTTAGATCGTATGCAACCCCAGTCTGGACTGTCGACCTTGCTTGAACATCACCTGAAGTATTATTTTCCCAGTAAACCACTATACAGATGATTATGCACAGGTGACAACTGGAACACATTGTTAATTAAAGTAAATACATACGTTTCCAGACAAATTTCTTCGATAAAGTGAATAGGCCTACCTCGCTTCCTCTTGCCAATCAGATATATAGAGCTTGTTATAAAGTGTTTTGACTGACATACTACGATGTTCTCGGCTCTGAATGTCTGACGGCTCGTTAGAAGTCGATTTACGAGCGCAGACCACGCGGTCAATCTCAGCTGGTTGTAATTAAATCTTAATTTATCAGCCTGCGCCTATGATCCCGGTGTGTGGCAATATATTTTCAGGCTCGAGCTGCAGTGGGGAATCCCTGGACTCTAAATGTTATGCTGATCTTGTGTAATTTTAGCACTTTATATTAAAATAGTTTGCATTAAAATTTACTTGACATAAAATTTACATTAAATAATCGCCAAGTCATGACTGATTATCAGATCTCCTGCTATATTGTGACATAGGCCTATAGATCTGTTTTTTATTCATGCAAGATATATGACAAACAGTGTTTACAAATAAGTGTCACTATTTAATTTATTTCGACCAGTAGCCTATATATTTTCCTTTGTCCATGTAATACTACACTGCACGGCCCACAGGTGGCACACCTGCTGACAATGGCTCTGCTATTTGTTTCTTATGTTTTAAACAACTAAACCGAAGTATTTTGATGGACAGTAGTTTTACTGAATTTGTTTTTTTCCTTAGCCAAATAACGCACATTTGACATCCTGTCTTTAAAGGACACTTACTTACATCAATTACAGCATCAAATATTTTACCCGCCCTTAATATTTAAAAACCAACAAGTACAATACAGTTGAACTTAACCTGTACTGACCTTTCGGTAACGAGAGTTATATACAGACAGCTAGTTTCGCATATGCCTGTACTTTCAAGTTATTGGAGATTCAACCTATTCTCCCGGGACTGGAGACCTTTAAAACCAATAAAACTCGCACCTGATTTAGAAGCTTATCTCACTAAACTACGGAAATTAGAGAAAATATCTTAACTACCTTGGAAACCTTTTTTATTGCCCCATAATATTTTGCTTCTGCACCTCGTTATCATTCCATGTCGCTTATATCTAATCCCCAGTGCACATTCCCACATTCCCATGAAGCTGGCGAGCACATTTATAACAGTTCTTTTTGTACTCAGTTTACATTAGTCACACGTCTAAGGTTTGAAGGCGTCGTTTGGTTCTATGAAATGTCATCAGTTAGTTCGCAGGAACATTATAAATGTTTGCTCTTTCCCCTTTCGACTCAATTTGTCTTGTAGACAGACAGTTTTACAGGCGGAAGATGTGATTTGGCAGTCATATGGGAAGAAGTCACAATGAGGTCCGTAGCCACCTCGCTTCTCTGAGTGAATACATAGCGCATCGTGTATACATATAGGCCAATAATAAACTGCATTAGGCTACTGCACAATTTGTGAGATGGCCTAGACTTCATTTCTTCAGAGCAAGGGAGCTGTTTTATAGTGGATACATTGCAACTATGTTGTGCACACATATATCCGAAGCAGAGTTATGGTAAAGCATTGAAGTCTACTCAAATTTACACAAATTTAAAGACTGTATATTGGCATTTGATAAAATGAAATCAATAGATTTGTTTCTGTTATTCATCATAAATTCCTCATTCGTCATAAAAATCATTTACATTTTTTAGAAGTTTGAAATGGAAATTGCCACTAATTTACCAAAGGTCAAAGCATTGCGTGATATTGTAATATCATACCCTGCTGCAGGCAAGTAATATAGACAAAGTTTTGGAGATTGGCATATGGATATACCCGCCATTTGATGGTTCGTTAATTCTGGTCAAGCGTCATCCATGAGCTGAGTACGAATACTTAATCAACCTTTCACGACTCTGGTCACTTTAAAAATGCTCAGCATCTTCCATGAAGTCTATTTATTATTCCGTTTTAATTAATACCTATGACTGTATTTGTTTAATGCAGGATATACCATGTTTAGGAATTCCAGAAACGTAGTTTGTCGGGTAAATTGTGTAGCCTGATTTTTTTTTTTTACGTTACTGAAATACATACAGCTTATTTTGGGGAAGCCCCGTTATAAATTCATAAAGTTACTTATTGCATTATTTCCATGTATAATATTATGATACTTGTATCAAGTGGTTGTATTTCAGATTTATTTGTATGAAGCTAAGTGGGACGCTACCCAGCTCATTTCTACACAAATGATCCGTAATAAACATGTTTGAAAAGCAAAGCCTGAAGATGACAGTCCTACAAGGATACCAATTTAAAGTGTCTCTCATTATTTAGAGTCCTCCAATAATAATTATTATTATTAGTGGTAGTAGTAGTAGTAGTAGTAGTAGTGTACTTGTTACTGTTGCTAATATATAGCTAATGATCCCTGTCGGATAAAGAGTAGCCTAGCAGTGTAGTCATTTCAAGTAGCCACAGTGTAGTGTCCAGTATAAATCCAGTATAACAGTCTTGGCTGGAGTACTGACCGCTGTTTTCCTGGCCCTTGCATCCCTGGTCATGCTGGGGGGTTCCAGTGTCTGAGAGTGACAGCGCTGGGCTGCGGGTCTCGCTGTCAGTCAGCAGGTTAAAATCCATAACCCTGACCGCCAGGCTCTGTGGACAGCAAAGCAATGTTTTCAGTGTCTGTGTGAAACAGCACAGAGTGACAGGGTGCAAAGCCGAGACACTGGATAGGCCAGTCTATGAAATCAGCGCGGTTGATTCGGCTGAGGAAGTGTGTATGATCAACAGGGTTAAATCAGTCCTGAGAGAGGCTATATGATAAGTACAGTTCAATCAGATCAGAGGACGTACGTATCATCAGCCGAGCTGGTTGCCAGTGAGGGACTGTATATGACTAGCACAGTTAAGTCAACTGAAGGGACATGTACGCTTATTAGTTAAACCAGCTCTGATGTTCTTGCCAGTTTTTCTCTGTAGTTTGCACAATGAGTCAGACACATATATTAACCTTCCGGCTTCAATTTCCCACTCTAATTCACCTTGACAGTGTTTCTAATTATGGGGTAATTTGTTATTGGCAGGTGTCAGACCCACTGCCCATAATCTGCCCCTGAAGTGAGTGACGTACCTTTATTCAACAACTCTGAATGCTCACATTTCATTTGCAAGTGATGGTTTCTCATTTATTCACAGTATTATATTATATAAACTTTAGTCATTGAGCGGAAAAGAACAGCATTTCAGAGAATATGAATGGTATATATGCACAGTTTTAAGCAATCATGGACGAAAGTAGATATTTAAATTTTTGTACAGGCGATATATCATTGTCTCAGTGGTTATAGGCCCAACATGGGCCTAATCTCGAATACTGATGTAATTTTGTTTGCTTTCTGACTGCCCATGTGGTCGTAGGATGTGGCCTTCAAGACAGCACGTGCTTTTATGCATGAAGAGGTGTCCCCACAGTCTCCAGAATCAGCCATTTAAATATCATTATCCAAACTATTTGTTTTCTCTCTAATCCCTCCATTTCATTAAACATTTAGAAATATCTGGCCTACAGTCACAGTAATTAGCTTTATTATTATTATTATTATTATTATTATTATTATTATTATTATTATTATTATTATTATTGCTGTTGTTGTTTTGAGATGCTAAAATGAACAAATGACCAGCAAGTCATTCAAAAATCTAGCAGTGAGGTCTTCTGACCAAAAAACGTCTTTATTATAGTCTCCATGACTTCGACGATTTTAAAATGATTTTTTGCGGATTACAAAGGATTACGTACATTAAGGGGTAAAAAATGGCGTTATTTATCATTCTGATAAACAGAAAGTCATAAATAGCTACTTTTTTGTATATGTCAAGAATTAGGTATGCGTGTGTACTATTTCTATCGTTCGTGGTACGGTATGACATACAGGTGACACTTCAAAGTAAAATAGCATCATCACTATCGTAAACGCAGCTGATACGTAACGGAGCCTAAAATAACAGGTCGTTTATTTATGTAACCGCAGTTAACACCTCTAAGATACGGGGACACACACTCATTTAAAGCTTCTTAAGATTTATTATGCCGAGGCCAGGAGTGAGACCCCTATCCCAGTAACTCTATCTGAATTACACCAAGACACACCGAAACAACGCGTATACTAGCAAATTGCAATATAACCATGTGTAACGGCGTTGTCAAACAACACGCCTACCTGGCGCTCCGTTCCTGTCCCTTAATAACAACGAATAAATAGTTTTCTTGGCAGATTAATAAAAAAAAATTAAATTGAGCTAAAAAAAGAAATGACGATATTTCCCCGCTTCTGTCCAGAGCATTTTAATATGTTGTCGTTCTACACAGCCATCTTAAATTTCAACAGTCGTTTAAAATTATATGGTACAGCAATTAATAATAATCTCTGCGTATGTCTTGTAAAGCTCTGTAACACTGCTAGTAAAGAATATGTTACTATCGAATAATAGCCCTATTTTAAAATATTTAATTCAATAAAACAATTCCTCACTTCTACTGTATCATTTGGATTAATATAAGCATATGTATGATGTTTAGAAAAAAAATAACGCTATACATATATTACTATTTGTTACTATATTTTAATTTTTACAATTTGTAAAAGACATATGGCCCTTTCCCCAGAACTAAGTTGAATTTAAAAACTTGACGCAAGTAAAACGTCATTGAACAAAGGGATCTGTATGTCAGTTCAGCAAAAAAAAAGATAATTATATCACTGAGGAGTGTATTCACAAACACGTCGTTCATACGCCAAGGTATTTATTTATTTATTGTCGGAATATTAATCTTGATTTAAACTGAATTATTAACTGAATTATTAAAGGATTGATTTTTCAAGGTTACAGGCGATGCTACAAAATAAAAACGTGTATCCAGCGGATGCGAGATTCTCACAGAAATTTGAACTTAGTCCAGTGCTTTTAGTGGGCCAGTAATCACCGGTATGTAGTATCAGTACAATCTGACTTTTTTCTGAGTTCCGAGAACGTTTCCTGCGTACTTGCACGTCTCATAGTCTACCGGTAATGAATAACGAGATAAATACTGGTACCTGTTTTTTCACACTTCAAGCACTGACTTGTCGTTTACTGGTGTAACAAATATTCATCTATAATTTAATTGATTGTTTATAAAGGTTATGATTAAATTGGCCTATAATACTATCTTTTCAGTACAGTAATACGACAATAGGTATTTTATAGACGCAAGAATCAAAACAACGTCAGTTACCTGAAAGTTGAACGGTATATGAGTAATGACCAAACATCGGAGACTGAAAAAGCTATCTAAAGTGAAATTAATTTCGTGAAAAATAGATAAGGTGTGATTAGATGAGAGATGAGATTAATTTAGTATTGTCATCGTGCTCAAATTGTGTTATGAACTAGAATGAAAATGTCAGTTGCGCAAAACCCAATTTCTGCATAACTGAAGGTACAAAATTATAAGAAGCACCGCAATTATACTCTGCTTGGTTCATCTTCATTTGTCAAAATCAAACCCGGGTCCGAGAGAGAGCCCTAAGTCTCCAAGGTAAGAAAATGGAGCAGCCCTCCAATAGAAAGTGTGCTGGGCTTGAACAAAATAAGGAGGTGAACGTATTAATGGTATTGCTTATTTTGTGTTTATCCACGCATTATAAAGGTTGTCAAAAGCCCTTTCCAGTAATAATACTGTATTATACCCTGAATATACCATCATTAGAAAAGCAAAACAATGATCTATACATTTCTGGGTGCCACTTTAGAGTAAGGCTCCCTTTTGCCACTTGTAAATGGTAGTAACTCATTAATAAAAAGAAAACTGTTATAACTTGTTTAAAATTGTGTATAATAATTTACGAAGTGTTACAACCTAACTAATAACCAGATTATAAACCATTCATAAACCCTTTATATGGGTAGCCTTATTGTAAAGTGGCATCCATTTCTGATGGAGTCGTTAATAATCATAATTCCTCGTTCGTTAATACTTTCTTTTATCTTTGTATCAGTATCGATATTAGATTTATAAAATGAAACCAAGATTCAGTCTCACAGACACACACACACACACGTCAGGGGTAAAACAATTCTAAAACAAACAGTTCCAGTCCAATACGTTATCTATGGCTTTGCTCTCTAATAAAGTAACAGGGAGGAGCGTCGCGCTATTACCTCGTTACGCAGTTTGATTTCACCGACATACGCGGAAATGCTTTGATTTATAAGCCAATATTTAACATAAACACAACGTAAAACTGACAATTTTCACTAAATGTGTATTAATGGGTATAAACAAATATAAAAAATATATATTAAAAAAGCTTCGCAAGTAGTTAACCAGTTACCAGAAGTTACAAATAATTCAACTGAAAAAATATGGTTTGCACAAAACTGTAGTCTTATATCTTTGGGTTATTAATTTGATCTCTTGTATCAATTAACGCTTAATATAAACGGTAGTATTTGCATTTAACATACATCGTTCGTTAAAGACAATTTAGATTTATACTTTAAAATGAGCAGCCTCCTTTAATGAGATGTATCAGAACTGACTGAGGCAGTGATCCCGAAGATCATATTTTTTTCCAGTCTTGTGTAAGCGCATCATCCAGAGCAAATGAAAAAATACACACAGGAAGTGTTATGCACTTTCATACGAGTGTGACTGGATTAAATAAAGTAAAACTGCTGTTTCAGTACTCCATTTATCATAGCAAGTTAAATTCTTTAGGGCTAATATTTACAAGCAAATCGACAGCTTTGTGGCAGATCCTGGATACTTTTGTTTATCTAACAGGAGCAGTAAACAAACATCTTACACAGGGACTGCTTTGGCTTTTCACGCTGTTCCCATTGCTTGATGCCTGACTAACTGTGCTGCAGAATAAATACTGTTATAAAACACAAATTATGATTTTTGACATGTACTATAGATGTTGTCTGTCTCTTATTGTGATGCAATAAATTAGCAATTTAGGAAAGCTTGATAAAGATTCAAACCCTAATTTCAGCAAAAAAATATATAACAATGCAGATTCAAAATGACACAATTTATTTTAAGTAGTTTGAATCTGTTACATAATGCTATATCCCATGATGCCGTTTAGCTGGATCCCAAGTTACTCTTGTGCTGTACCACCAAACTCACTTTATTTTTTTAAAAAGTCGTTATTGTGCGTGTGCTTAGGAAGTGACATAGGTGCAACAGCAATGGGGTTCCATTGATATTGCTATTAAGTATGCAGTGTGGTGAAGGCTGCAAAGGCTTATATCTGCACCATGGGAGCACCATTCCATTTCACAGCCCAAATCATTCTGAAAGAGAATGCAGGCAACTTCTGAGCAGGAAGTGAAGCTGTTAACATTGATAACTAGCTATTAGGAAACCTGTCAAAGGGATGACCTGCAGTTTAACCCTGCAGGCGTCCTGGTTACACCTGCAGCTGCACATTTTTTCAACACACAAGGTCAGCGGGGCCTATTACAGCAGGCCATCTTAAGGTGGTACCACATGAAACAGCAAACACCTTAACTGCAGACGATATGATGATACCTGAATATACAAGCTGTTTGACATTATTATTATTATTATTATTATTATTATTATTTAACTATATGTAACTATAAATATCAAACTTTAAAAATCTGTTATTGTCAACTTAAGACATGATGCATATAGGGTAATATACTATATGGTGAAATTTCATTCACTATGGACAATGTACAAATGTGAAAGTAATAAACAGAATATAGATACTGAGACATATAATCAGTATAAACCAGACATTTTAAGACAGGAGTATTAAGACATAGACCAGAAATACATTGAAAATTAAGGTGTACATTTAGTAACGTTTTTTGTCTTATATTACACAGCAAGGAAATCTTAGATTTCAGCGCAAATTATTTAAAATCACATTAGAATCAAATTACAATCAAATTAGATATAATTTTAGTTAATATCTATTTTTTGGCTTACGCTACAATGACTTTCGAATACATTTTATTTAAAGTATTGCCCAGGCGTTGTACGTATTTTTGTGTGTATTTTTGCTACTGTTTTTTTCTGGATTTACTAGAATATTCTTACACAGCTTCCTAAACTGCGAACAAATTATTCTGGAGCCCTTTTAGGAATTATATTGATTATTGACGGAGTATATGTGCGTGTATATGTGTGTGTGTGTATGTGTGTGTGCGTGCGTCGCGCGATTATGTGTGAAGACAGGGTGAAATGAACCAAGATTTGATTTTGTCTCTGTCGGCTACACGTTGTAATGAAATCTGCTCGAATCCTAACATCTGTTAAATCACTACAAATGTGTTTTAACGGAAACAAAAAAACTGGAGCTTAGTTCTGAGGTTCTCATATATATGAAGCCGCCATCCTTTTATTTTTTGGGAGGCAGAAGAATCCATCTGCTGGCTGGCCTGAAGTGTACTGCTTACTTTTCCTTGGGTTCAAGCATTATGTCTGGAATTATTCATAAACGCGTCGCGAATTAATTCATTGGATTAAGAGTTGATTAAGATGTGTGTCACTTTGCTGTCTGAGAATTTATTAAGGACCTCCTTGAGAAGGCGGCAGATGGAATTTCTGCTCAGTGTTTGAAGATGTTAATTTTTCCTCCTCTTACACCAATTTGCATACGATTGCGTGTGTCAGAGAGAGATTTTTCATTTATTTTATGCGCCGTATAAACACGTTGTATGGATTCCACCCCTTGCGTTTCTGTTCTTGCGCAAACCTGGAAATCCAATCACAGACAGATTTTATATGGATATATACATTTTTGATCCATTTGTATTTAAATATGCCTAAATAACAGACCTGTTTATAATGAATTACCATATTTCATGGATATTGTGTTTTTCATAGCGAAGTAGTTCGCTTATTATATGGAGCCATGTTACATGTAATTAACGTTTAATAATGTTTTTGCTACATTCTTTAAAATACCGAATAGCATTAGATACATTAATCACAAAATTCGAAGACGACTTTTCTGTTTTGTTAGTTGTGTATAAAATTTAACTGGAAACAAATTGGCCAACCAACAAAGTCATTTTATTCGTTTAGTTTTTAAGTTAACAATAAGCGAATGAAATATTTTTAGTGGAAAAACCTTGCCAGTTTGTTCCTATTTATATAATTAGTAAAAGAACTGGGATTATATATATACATTTATAGAAGAGAAACGAAATTAACATGGTGAGACGGGTGGGGTACACAGAGAAACAAATTAGACCACACGAATAAAAAAAATCTGACTCGTACAAACATTTTTAAGAATTACCTAGGTCCTGTATTCATTGTAGTTACCGTTTTACCCCCTTTTAATCAGATATATTCTTCAGTATTCACGAGCGCAAGCCTATCATGTGTTGATTAAAATTGGGATAATTCAGTAATACATTACCTGTATTTCAGGATTTACATCAGGACAAGGGAAACTCCCTGGCGCCCGCTACCAATCTATAGCATATACACATAAACTTAAATCAACGACACGGAAATCAATAATAATAATAATAATAATAATAATAATAATAATAATAACGTTATTTCATTCTTAGTCACATAATTATGCAATCTATGGCGCCTGAAACAAGAAGGGATATTGTCATTTTGAGTAGTCGAGTCTGCTATGAATGACGTCCCAGCATATAGTTAAAAGAGAGGCCTATTTGTGGAAATAAACGGACTAAGGTATGACATCAGGAGATGTAGTCCTAATGTTTGCCTTGCCAAAGGAATTTCTGTCCACTGCCTCCGGTTTATGATGTTTGCTTAACCATAACGTGTACAGTGGCACTCTTTTATTTTGTTTCCTGTGTTACTAAGACTTTTGTCCAAACCGCGACAAGGGACTGAACTGTCAAATAAACACCATGAAAAGAATCATCGTTAATTCAAGGGGGGATTCTACATAGACATATTCTTCAATTATTTTACAGGCGTATTGACCTACCTTGCTATTTAATCTAAATGTGTAATAATAGGCCTACCTATTATTCGCGTCTTTGTTTTGTTCTATGTATAACCCACAGAATTCAGTCTTAACAGAGCTTTTACTGTTTCTTTGGTGCCGTGATTACATTTTTCCAACCGTGTTATTTTAAATGTAATGGCATTTTAATTTACGTAAAACATTACTTCCGTTTTAATTTTTAACAAAAGTGTAAATAAAAACCGCCCCGTTGTTTTGGTGTTTGGCAAGGCCAGAGAAATTGCTTAAATAAATTTGAATCCGTTGCATGCACGTGTCTGGCAAAAATGGATGTTTCGAGCTAAATGCACTCCGATTGCGAATACTAGTCACAAGGCACTGGGCGTCGTGTTTATATTTTCCTTAAAAGTATATATCCAATATTTACATTTGCTGCTTGGAAATCGAACTGTTTATAATTTGCAAGATACACACTAAAACACAGGGCAAAAGTAGCCTATTTAACTAACCTCAAAATATCGAATACGTACTGAACTACTAAATATTCTTTAAAGAAACTTTTAGATTTGAAAACCACAAAAAGTAAATGTAGCTTTTAAATCGTTAAGAAAGAAGCATACCGTCTATCTTCGAACAGAAGCCATGTAATAGGCCCATCTGGAAACTGTTCATAAGTGTTTTATACGATACTATCAGAGTAGAGTTAAAAGCAAATATTCTACGAAAAACACTTTTTCTTAATAGTAGCCTACATTTCATGCCTGCGCATTACTAACTCCAGATATAATATATAATCAAATATATAAATCGTTTATGTGGTTTTGCCTATTATTCAATTGCTATTCGACCTATTAGAAATGAAGACTACTTGTGCATTTTTGTATGTAGCTATGTGTTGTATTGTTATACACAATAAAAAAAAATTTTAGTCTTTTAAAGCTCGTTTTCCTGTGACACCGTGTTTTTATTGTAATGTTTTAAATGGTACTTAGAAATGTGTTACACACAGACACACACACATATAATATAATATAATATAATATAATATAATATAATATAATATAATATAATATATTAAAAGCGGTGAGAAGGAGGGAACTGGTAGTTCTGTTTTTCACACAGTAGCTAGTCTCCTGTGGCTCCGGAGCACCTGCTACATATCAGTTTAGAGCAGATCCTCAAAAGTCTTACCTCTACAATGCTCTTTGCCGGCGGCTTTACAAACACACACAAACACACACACACACAAAACTACGCGTCGCGGTCTCAGGAAAACCAAGAATGCGATTCGATTAAATATGTGCAGGAAGCACTAAGTTACATTCCTAACAAAAGCACAGCACGGCTTTGCTGTTACACAGGTCTAAGACTGACGACCGTTTATCCAGTCTAGGATAGTATCCTCTTCCACAACTGTGTGTACTGCTGGAAACTTAGTCGCCTCTGAATGTAGGCCTACGACATGGTGAAAGTACTTAACTCGCCAGGATGTCCGTATAGTATATGCCTGACACTTTTAGATTTACGTGGGTCTTTTTATATTCCACTTAAATGGTCATAAAAGTTCCTTCTTAAAATATAAAGTCTTAAGGCTAAAAGTCCGAACTGGTACACGAAATGTTTAAATTATCGCCCAAGAATTTGCATATCTTTACCCTACTAGGTACCGGAAATCTAAATGGACCAAAGAGCTTGAACCGGGAGCGAACCGCACGGAAACCGTGTGATCATATCATATTACACACACACACAAACATTTTTTTTTATTATTTCTAAAATTCATATGAAATAATTAGTGCATAACAGTGCCCTTTGTCACTTTTGATCAGTTCAACCCTGGCATCAGTCGAGTGGCCTACTTCTTTAATCTCCGCATACACTGCTATACGGACTTTATTGTACTATTAAAACATTGTTTATCTGACAGTGAATGCAATGGAAATGCATTGTCCACTTTTAAAATAATTAATCGCTTGAGGTAATGCAAGTAAATTAGCAAAAGTTATACTTCACCCGCAAGACGCACACACAAACCTGCCAGAATACGGCCGATGATTAAGGAACACATTTCATTAGGCTACTGATGCTTAAAAAATTATTCGAATTAGTTGACCAATTCGGCAGTGCATTATGTGAGCACACAAAATGGTTGGTAACAGCATAGTTAAGGTGTAGCCTACATATCTGATGAAGCACAAAATAACGTTCTTCTAATTTTCACCGTCTTTCGCTGAAAATGGACAAATATCCACAGTAAGCGTTTGATAGTGACAGTCTAGTAACTTACGTTAAATCCGAGTTAGAATAATCCTCGTAAACGATAAGACTTGTAGTTATAAGGCTGTCCGGTACAGTTGATGGTGTCGGAAAGTTCCCTTTTCGGTTATAAAAGAAAATATAATCTGGACAGTTTCCTTCTTTCGCTGTTGCCTGGCATAAAGACAGCCGAAGAGTGAGACCCTAAGAGATCCCCATGCAGAGGGGTTTGACTTTATGCTAAATATCTTGTGCGACAGGTTCGTCGGAGAGAAGGACTGCCCACTTCACGGCTCTCACTTACCCCACACCCCGCTCTCTTACCCCGCTTTTCTTTGCAGCCGTCCGTTGTTACTGAGCTGTTCTTAGGACAATTGGCGAGATATTCACTACTCGGTTTATTGAGGCGACTATGCGTGGGATACCTCACATCTGTAATTTCAGGTACCCTGACCGCCAATTTGACCTGTCCTATTCATTGTGATTTACGAATTTAAACTACTGTGTGATTTTAATGCCAAAAGACATACGATTGTTAAATATAGACAGAGCAATCCTACCTATGAATGCTGAAGACGGGGATCGCTTTCAAATTCGTCGAAATAATATCCAAAGGGAAACAAAGAGAGAGTACTGTTACAGAGCACCCCGGTGATCCCCCAGTAGGGGCCAGTTACACACACATGTATGCAGCTGTGCGAGAGAGGACAAGGTCGCGATCATTTTCCTGACAGTTAAGAGCTGCCTATAAACATAACGAGTCATCTGTGGCTTTTCAGATTACTTAGGTCCCAAAGTATAAATTAGGTGTAGGCTATACTTAACTTCAACGATCATAACGTCTAATCATGCCAGGTGAGATTAAAGGTACCTTGGTCAACAAGTATTAACCTGCACAACGATACCGGATTATTATTTGTTTGTTTATTTATTATTATTTTTTTTTGGGGGGGGGGGGGGTGGTGAAATTTACCTTTCTGAACTTCTCCCATTGTTCTGTATTTTCATAGATATTATAAATGTATAGAGGGCAGGAGTATCTAGACGGAAGTGGTCTATACTTGCTACGAAGTATCATTCAACAGGACAGGACAACACCACCGTGTCTCCCGGACGTGTGCTTTACGACAGTAGTCCTCAACCTTTTTTGCACCACGACCCAATTTTACAATGCCAGCTCACCCGCGACCCTACATCGCGTATAGCTTTGAATTAATTAGTTAAATTAATTGATGATCAAGCACGCAGTGCACTCTGCAATTTACGCCAATCAATGCCTATCGCACAAATCTGATTGGATGTGCCCGTGAATTTTAAATTAATCATCTGTGGTTTGGCTTCTTGGGTTGGTTGAGTGTTCACTAGTTTTGCACTAAGCATTTGCAGACCCAAGACCCGTTTATTCTGGTTAATTCTATAGCATTGGAGCTGGGAAATCTGATTGTGGATTAGCATTTGAGCTTGCTGGTTCTAAAATGCTTACATTTTCAACTCTGCCTCTCGACTCTTTCAGAACTTGCCACTTCGCGACCCATGGGTTGAGAATCGCTGCTTTAGGACCGCTTTGTGGGGCACAGTTTCTGTTTTTTAAGCGTCCTTTTCAGTCTTTTATAACATTTTTTTTCCCCATTTCTCGCCGATTCCCCATGTTACGAAAACAAACACATGTAAAACGGAAGTAAATCAAATTCAGTATTACTAAGCAAGGAGGTCATTGTTTTGCAATGATACGTCAGGCAATTTCATGTTCAATTTTTCAGTAAAAAGAGTGGAACAGATTTTTGTAATGACTACATAGATCGTCTGGTGTTTATGTTACCGATTTCAGAGAACATATATTATCTATTAGCAAATAAATTGTTTATAAATCAATTATAGAAATATAAACTGATGGTTGCACTTCAGTGATTGAATGATTCATTAGTTATCTAGCATACTGAGTGTTAATACTAATTTAAGATTTTAAAAACTCTCGCATTTTAACAATTTTTTTTTGGTCTGAAAGCCTTTATGCAGCATAGCTACATAATTGTCACAGTTTTAGCCAGTATGACAAAACATGTATTTCTTTGTTCAAACTTTGCTAATGCTGTGTTGTGCAAAAATTACGGATGGAGTGAGTTAGTTATGCAAAAAAGTTAGTATGAAATGAATCTGCGAATAAACAGCAAATACCCAATGTTTAACAAATGGATGCACTACTGTAAAGTAAACACTTCTTATTAAGATAAAATAAATGTAATCAACATAACCCCACATGTTCACAGTTTGGGAGATGCAGTCTGACAGACACGCTACAGCTGTCCAGAAAATAATTCTCTTCCGGCCAAAATTATGGAGCAAAACAAACGACCGCACAAAGCAATAGTATGCATTTGTACAGCAGTTCCTTTGTATTTTTCTGTCGTGTTTGAAATTTGTCACTTTGAGTAAGCCTGCTTTCAGGATGAAATGGGCAGGCACCCAAACAGATGAAACCCAGATTAAAATCAAACAGGTTACAAACTGCTTATTGAACAGGGCCAGGTTTCCTGATAACGGTGACTCTTAGCATCTTACGAAGACTCTAAAGATTTATCTTACAAAAGGTATTTGTTTTTCTACGTATGTTTCCCGAACAATCTCTTACGAGTTTGCTCAAGGGGGAGCTTCTTAAGTGCGACATTAATAAGCGCCGAAACACCTGATTGGTTGACATCGATGACTCGAGAATTGATTATTTCCTAAATGCAGCTATTGCTTGACTGCCGCCAGAGAGAAAGTGGTACTCTTTATTAATTTAATACTGCAGGAATCCTTGAACATATTGCATTAATCGGAACTGGGGAGAAGCTAAGAATAAAATACAGAATTAACAAAGTGAATCATCTAACCGTACAGTAAATATGATTTTCACTGATTGGGTGCCCGAACTCGCCTCCCCAGATAATAGTGTGACCATTTTATTTTTATTTGTTCTATAAAACACCTGCGTGAACCAATATGTGTGTATGTCATTGATATGGGGACGAGCAAAGGTACAATAGTCAAAACAAAAGTTGCGTTACTTTGCGAAACATAAGACAATGTCGTATGTGCTTCAGTGTCTACTACTAAGGACTATTCCAGAACGTATATTAATCTCTCATGTAAATGAACCTGCAGTGTCGACTGCTTTCAACCTCACGAACCAAAGTTTTGATATACTGTAACTTTGGCACATTTACAGAGGTGTGTCCATTCCAGGGCCTTCGGAAATATGGGGAACGCGTCCACCCCAATATCGGCAGACCTCCCCACCCCCCCTTTTCCTTCCCAATTAATAAATGGGCCTACATAATCAAAACCGTTTTCCTTATCTTTCAATATGAATCCATTCGTTACTGAGGCCAATTCGCTGCGCATTCAGAGCGCAAGGACGAAACCTTATGTATCTGTATCCTTATCGATATTAGTCTAATTTTAAATGAGCGGTATATGAATCGACAACAAGAGACCGCTAAGACCCAGCCTTACGAAAGAATATCTTACGGAAGATATACTTAACTAAGAACGTTTTGGGAAACACGTTGGAGGGTTAAGAGACAACTTAAGGTAGAACTTAGAAACGACGTAGTTAAGAAGGTTTCGGGAAAACCGGGCTCAGTACTTTTGATACTCATGTGGTAAGCATTTGGTAAGAAATTGTATTTAAATATGTTTTAATGATATGAAATCCAATAAGATCAGCACTATGTCCATAAATGTATAAAGTATTCCATTTTTTTAGAATGTGTACAAGCATGCAAAACAATTGCAGACTAACTTTGCACTTGATTTTTAAATACCATTTTATTAATAAGTACTTGGTTTGCACCAATTCCTTGTTATCCTGTGAAATGTTACAGTATCCAGAGATAAAATCTTGTGAAATATCCTCCCTTCCATCATCTATCCCTGCATCCATCACCACTTGTTCAGTGGATGAGCCTGGAGCCTTTCCTTGAAAGCAGAGGGCACAAGACATGGGACAGGCTAGATAGTGTGCCAATCTATCATATGGTCCACAGATACACACACAACTGTGAGGCATCAGTTCACCAAAACCTTCTAACATGGGAAGAAACTGTCACACCAAGCAGGGAGCATAGACCAGGGAAGTAGGAGAAGAAGCCACAGAATCAAGGAGCGAGGGATTGATTGGGCAAACAGCAAGGCACACTGGGCAAAACAGGTAGCAACATCAATGACAGAACTAGGGACTTAAATACTGGGACTCAATTAGACAAGACTCAGAACAGCTGGTAACACGGGGATTCCACACAAGGTTAATGAGGGGGCGTGGTACACAAGAAGAGCAGCACAATCAGGATGTGACAGAAACCCACATAATCAATCATGAGGAGAACATGCAAAGTCACAGGCACACACAGGGCCTGGCAAGAATTTAAACCCACATTAAATAATCTACAGTAATATCTGAAAGATGCAATGGTACCAGGACCAGAATGGGGGGGTGCAAATTACCCTGGGCTTAGCACTTTATGGGGTACCCTGCTGATCTCAACATGCTATAATTTTTCTTTTTCAAACGCATAAATCAAATGTTTATTCCAAACCATTTATGTAGCAATTTTGGTTAAAATATTATAATATTGTAGAAAAAACAAATTTGTCCAGTTGCAATTTGTTTATGGTTGCATCACAGAAAGATTGTTGAAGAATATTAAATAAATATAGTTGGTATGACATGTCCATTCATGTGAAAAGTTGCATTTACCACTAAAATTTCATTATACAAGGTATTAATTGAAAGGGACCCTTGAGCATTTCTGCCCCCCCTGCTCCAAGACTAAACCTTTGCTCTGCCAATGAATGGTACCTTTGCATTTAAAACATTCTTACCAGCCAATGGATGTACTATGCTTTTAGTTGCAAAAGGAAATCTGCACACCCCCCACCCCAAAAGTCAAACCATGATTTCAAAGTGATAGCTTCTCATGTTTATCATTTGGCTAAGTCTTATATATTTATATAGTTTTATGTGGCTAGAGGTCTGCTCTCTAGGGGAGAAACACACTAGATACCGAGTGTAGAGATAGTAATGCCTTTACAGTATGATATGGTTTGCTTTGATTTTTTTTTTTTGCCTCATTCCTGCCGCTGCACATGCATGAGATAGCTTCAGTCTGTATAGTATTGGCATGCCTTTATTTGCAAATGGAATGTTGCAATTACAAACCCAGCAGGTGATCAAATAGTTT